AGGGCCTCAGTCTTGCTGACATTGAGTTGGAGAAAGTTGTCTCTCGTCCAGGACCTGATGTCAGACAGGCAGGCGGTCAGGACGCCAGTAGTCCTGGAGCTCAGGGTGGAGTCAGAGAGATAGAGTTGGGTTTCATCCGCATACATATGGAAATTTACCCCATGTCTGCGGATGATGTCACCAAGGGGGAGCATGTAGAGGGTAAAGAGGAGGGAACCAAGGTCAGAGCCCTGACAAACACCGCACGAGATGGTGGGAAGGTAGGATTGGCAAGTACAGAACCACCGAGGTGGAGAAGAATAGAGTGGTCAACAGTACTGAAAGCAGGAGAAGGACGAGGAGACAGAGAGAGTCCTGGTCGCAGGTGGGCAGAATGTCATTTATCACCTTGACCAGGGCTGTCTATGTGCACAAAACCCAGATTGGAGGGGTTCATGGAAGGAATGCTGGGAAAGAGCGAAACTGGGTAGCGACGACTTGTTCCATAAATTTTGATAGAAAAGGTTTGAAATGGAGCAGTAGTTGGATAGCAGAGATGGGTCAAAAGATATTTTTTTTGAGGGTAGGAGTGATGACCGATGTCTTTAGGGGAATGGGTACAGTGCCAGTGAACAGGGAAGATGTTAACAAGATCTGTTAGTAGATAGGCAAGGAGGTGGAGATGGGAGGTGAGGAGAGGGTTAGGGATGGGATCAAGGGAGCAGGTGGTGGGCTTCATACGGCAAATTATGTAGGTGAACGAATAGGGGGAGACAGGATCAAAAGTATGGAAGGAGGGATGGGGGCCTGGAAGAGGAATGGGAGGTGGAGTGGGGGCGGTAGAGGGGCTAGCGGCGGCAGAGCGGATCCCCTCAACTTTGGACTCAAGGAAATCCATCATCTCCTCGCATTTGGTGTTGAAGGAAAGGATGGCAGAGGCATGGGAGGGTGGAAAGGTTGGCTTATGGTAGAAAAGAGGAGTCTGGGGTTATCCTTAGTTTCCAAGATGATTCTGGAATAAAAGGATGACTTAGCTGAGGCATGGGCAGAGCGGTAGGTCTTTGTGCAGTCCTGCCAGATCTGATGGTGAACCGTTAATTTGGATTTGCACCAGATGCGTTCGGGAAAGCGCACCTGAGATTTGAGGGAGCGTAGGTGGCTGGTGTACCAGGAAGATTTGTGCGAATAGGAGGTGGTGCAGAAGATGACGGGGGCAAGCGTGTCAAGGATGGCCGAGAGGGAGTTGTTTAGCAGGGTGACCATTGCAAGTAATGTAAGTCATTGCACGAGGGCCAGAGGGGTAGAAGTGCAGATGCCTCCAGGGCTGTGGAGAAGGCATGGAGAGGGATTTTTCTCCAGGGTCGATAGGAGATGCACGTGGGGTGGGTGGCAGGGAGGGGGATGGAGGAGTTAAGGGAGATGAAATAGTGATCTGAAATGTCTCTCTTATCCGTCACGTTAGTGACCTCCTCGAAAAATTAAATTAGATTTGTCAGACATAACCTACCCTTCACAAATCCAAAAGTCGCTGGGTTAACTAATTTTCCTCTCTAAATAGTTGCTGCCTGACCTGCTGCGTTTTCCCAGTGACTTCTGTTCTTATTTCAGATTTCCAGAATCTGCAGTATTTTTGCCTTTTGTTTTCCCTTCACAACAACAAGATTACATTTGTATTGCGCCTTTCATGTCCACAAAACTCTCTTTGATTAGCTCATACTTGTCCAGGTGCTCAATCACTCTGTCCCTGATGAGGGATTCCCACAACTTTCCCACAACTGAAGTTAAGTTGACAGGTCTGTATCCCTTGTTTCTCCCTCCCTCCCTTCTTAAATAATGGAATGACATTTGCAGTTCTCCAATCCAAAGGCATAATTCCGGAATATAGAGAGCGTTGGAAAATTATGACTATTGCATCTGCAATTTCCTCCCCTACTTCTTTTAATACCCTGGGGGAGAATCTATCAGGTCCTCGAGATTTGTCTATCTTTAGTCCCATTCTTTTCTCCATTACCAAATTTTTATTTATATTAAATCCATTTAGTACTTCTCTTTGGCTTATTTTTAGATTCTCCTTGACCTCCCTACTGCCTTCGACCCCATTGACCACCCTATCTTCATCATCCCTCTCCTCTCACCTCAACCTTCATGGTGCTGTCCTTGAATGGTTCAGATCATACCTTTCACACCGCTCCAATTTATCGCCACAAACGGTTTCTCATCTAGCCGCCGCACCGCCTTGTGCAACATTCCTCAGGGCTGTCCTTGGTCCCTTCCTCTTCAATATCTATATGCTCCCTCTTGGTGGCATCATCCGCAGACATGGGGTCAACTTCCACATATATGAAGATGACACTCAACTGTACATCTCTGCCTCCACCCTTAACTCCAGGACCACTGCTGTCCTGACAGAATGTCTGTCAGACTTCGTGTCCTGGATTGGAGCTAACTTTCTTCAGTTGAATGCAAACAAGACCGAGGCCCCCTAATTGGCTCCCATCAGCACCTCCACAGCTCAAGCACTGACAGCATCACCATCCATGGATGCACACTCCACCTTACTAAGCCAGTCCGGAACCTTGGCGTCTTGTATGACCCTCAGCTATCCCTTCTACCCCTCACCCGTGCCATGACTCAGTCTGCCTTCCCCACCTCTGAAACATCGCCCGGATCTGCCATTGTCTCACAACACAGGCCGCCGAAACCCTCAGACACACATTCATAACATCCAGGCTCAACTATGCAAACTTCTTGCTTGTCAGCCTCCCCAACTCCTCCCTCCATGGGCTGCAGAGCATCCAGAACTCTGCAGCCTGTGACTCTGCCGCACCAGGCTCCATGACCCTATCACCCTCAACCTCGTCTGACTCCACTGATTTCCCATCACACAGAGGATACGGTTCAAGATCCTGGTACTCACCGTCAAAGCCCTCCATGGCCTCGCTCCCCACTACGTCTTTGACATCATAACCCCCACCATCCTGCACGCTCACTCGGCTCAGCGGGCTCTGGCCTGCTTCACGTCTCGCACATCGCCCACCCCACCATTGGCGGGCGCATCTTCTCCCACCATCCTCTGAAGCTCCACCCTGCAGTCCCTCTGCCTTGCCTCCTTCAAGACCAATCTCAAGACCCTCCTCTTCGACCGTGTTTTCGAGCACCCACCTTTACCCCCTGGCCTCTCCAATCCCAACTCCCAGCTCGGGTCCTAAACACTGATTGTCCAGGGCCTTGGGACGTCCTCCCGACGCGAAAGGCGCTATACAAATGTAATTTTGTTGCTGTTGTTGCCTTGTACCACTGGTATTTTGTCCAATTCCTCTACTGTGAAAACGAAAGCAAAGTATTCATTCAACACGTCCTGTCAGCTTGTTTCACGGACATCAAAGCCTGGGTGAGTGCAAATTTCCTGCAGCTGAATGTCAGCAAGACAGAAGCCATACTGTTTAGCTCCCGTGAATGTCTTCTCTCCTGCGGTCTGAACACTTCAACCTCCCAGGGCTCTCCCTTAGACTCTCCAAACTCATAATAATCCTTGCATTTGAAATAGCACTTTTCACGTCGGGACTACGTCCCAAAGCGCTTCACAGAACACACTGTAAAGTGAATTGACTGTATATTTGTGGGAGAACGCGGCAGCCAATTGCGCACAGCAATGTCCCACAAACAGTTGTAGATTGAAAATGACCAATTTTTAGTTTTGGTTTTGGAGGGATTATTATTAGGCGTGTGGAGTAAGGAAACTTGACCAAGATTTCGCCCTGTCTGGAATTGAACTCCGGTCTCTACCACTGACCTCTAACCACTGAGCTACAACTCGTGCACAACTTAGGCGTCAGGTTCGATCCCCAGCTTTCCTTTCTACCCCACATTCGTTCCCTGACCAGGACCGCTTTTTTTCACCTCTGTCACATTGCCCGCCTCCACCCACACTTCACAACAAAAGCAGCCAAAATCCTGGTCTACGCCTTCGTCACTTCCTTGCTGGACTATTCCAATGTTCTCCTCTCTGGTCTCCACAGTGCCACGATACACAAAATTCAACTAATTTAGAATTCTGCTGTCCAGATTCTCACCCACACAAATCTCTGTACCCCGATCACAACCCTAACTTCCTAACTATCCAATTTGCTTACCCCTCATTTGCCTACCCGCTGCCTCCGCTGGGCTGGCTCCATCCGCCTGTTTATCCCTCGTCCCCTCCACTCCACCATTGGTGGCCATGCCTTCAGCCACTACACCCCAAAACTGTGGAACCCTCTCCCTTAATCCCTCAGCCTCTTCCCTCCCCACCTTCAAATCCCGCCTAAAGACCTTCCTTTTTGATTCGTACTTATAATGGTCACCTCCGCCCTCCCTCTCCTCCTGGCTTGGGGTCAAACTTTGCTCCTGTCAAGCACTCCAGGACCCCACCCTATCTGAAAGGAGCTATATAAATACAAGTTGTTGTTGTATAACCGCAAGTTATTATTTCTTCCCTGGTCTCTCTCGCATCAGACTTTCCACCCACTTTCAAAACCTTCACTGTCACCCCATTTGGTATCCCTCACTCTGCTTTTTATTATTTACCACAAATTATGTTTTGATTCTCCCCCTCTTCCCTGTATCTGATTATCTTCCCCCTCCACCGTTTGCCATCCCAGTTTCTATTCTGTGGTCTTTTCTCTATTCCAGATTACTCATATAATTTTCTTCCAATCCAATTTCACTTCTCTCGGCGCCTCTTTTCTTATTCTTCCAATATCCTTTTCTCTGTAATGCCTTTCTCCTCCGCCCTTAAATTTAGTTTCTTCGACTGTTTGAAAACAAAATGGCGGCATCCAACCCTCCCCCCACCGCCCGAATTACAAACTCGCGGCTCAACGCAGCAACCGACACTGGAACTCCCCCTTCATGACAGGATTGTGTCTCAGAGTTCGTCTTTCTGACAGGGATTGGCTGTACCCCAAAAGCTCGGTTAAAAGGCCAATTTCCCTGGATTTCTCCCCATTTTCCCTTCCGCCATTCTGCTCCCGCTTTCTTACCTCAAGCAGCGCGTCCCTCCGCGGACCAGCAAACCACGCGGTTTGCGCATGCGCTCCGACTACCAAAGCGCCGCCGGTGTACGCATGCGTATGATGGGCCCTGTTTCCCATGGTGCATGGCTCCCGTACGGCAGCTTCAGCTCCTGTCCAACTTCAATTCCGTACAAAACCGTTTCTAGGAATCAGAATTATAGAGCACAGAAGGAGGCCATTCGGCCCATCGTGTCTGTGTCGGCTCTTTGAAAAGAGCTTCTCAAATCAATCCCACTCCCCCACTCTCTCCCCACAGCCCTGCAAACTTGTCCTCCCCAAATAATTATCTGCTTCTCTCTTCAATGTTGTTATCGAGTCGGCTTCCACCAGCCTTTCAGCAATGCATTCCAGATCCGAACAACTCAATGCGTGAAAACATTTCTCCTCATCTCTCCTCTGTTTCTTTTAACAACTATTTTAAATCGGTGCCCTTGGGTTACCAACCCACCTGCCAGTGGAAATAGTTTCTCCTTGTTTACCCTATCGAGTCCCCTCATCATTTTGAAAACTCTTATTAAGTCTCCTCTTAACCTTCTCTGCTCCAAGGACAATAATCCCAGCTTCTCTACCTCTCCTCATAACTGAAGTCCCTCATTCCTGGTACCATCCTGGTAAATCTCCTTTGCATCCTCTCCAATGCCTTGACATCCTTCCCAAAGTGTGTTGCCCAGAACCAAACACAGTCTCGAGCTGAGGCCCAACCAGTGCTCTATAAAGTTTCATAACTTCCTGACTTTTGTATTCTATGCCCCTATTTATAAAGCCTAGTGTCCCATATGCTTTTTTATCAGCTTTATCTGCCTGTCCTGCCACCTTCAAAGATTTACTTATATACGAAATTGGTGAATAGAATGCCACAAGGATTTCTCGCAAATATTTCCAGTTTTAAGCAAAGAGGACTTTTCTAATCCATGCAATGTGCCCATTTTTTGACTGGCAGCAAGTCCAGGTTTCCAATGTTTGTTGAAATTTCTGAATGCGCTAAACAACTTGCACTTATATAGTGCCTTCCACGTCTTGGAGCGCTTAACAGTGGCAGAGCCTGACACTGAGCCGGGGGGGGAACAGGAAGGTCTTCAGGCGGGACTTGAAAAAGGGGAGAGAGGGAACAAGGCGGAGGGATTGAGTGAGAGTGTTCCAGAGTTTTGGGGCATAGTGGCTGAATGCGCGACTTCCAATGGTGGAGCGGAGGGTGCGAGGGACAAGCAGGAGGCCGGTGCCAGTTGAGCGGAGGTGGTGGATTGGGGAGTGAGGAGGTCAGAGATGTAGGGAGCTACCAGGGAGTGAAGGGATTTGAACATGAATGTGAGGATCTTGAAATCGTTCCATTCGGTGATGGAGAGCCAGTGGAGCCTGGCCAGAACTGTTGAGATGGGGTTAAGGAGTTTGGTCCAGGTAACAATAACAGCCACAACTTGCATTTATATAGCGCCCTCCACGCCTGGCGGTGTCTCAGAGTGCTTAACAATGACCGAAGTCAAGGCTGAGCCGGGGAGGTGGGAAGGTGACCGTAGGCGTGATTGAAGAGGAAGGTCTTCAGGTGTGACCTGAAGATGGGGAAGGAAGAGGCGAGGCAAAGGGGTTGAGGGAGGGAGTTCCTAAGTTTTGGGGCGTACTGGCTGAAATTACGGCCACCGATGGTGGAGCCGAGGATGTGGCATACACGGAGGAGGCTGGACCCAGTAGAGCAGTGGCTGCAGGTACTGCTGTGGGGAGAGAGATAGGGGGTGCCAAGAAATGGAGGGATTTAAACACTAGAGTGAGGATCTTGAAATCGATCTGCTCTGTGACAGGAAGCCAGTGGAGTTTGCAAGGACTGGGATAATCGGGTTACGAAGTTTGGTATGGTTGAGAATGTGGGTGGCGGAGTTTTGAATTAGCTGAATTTTGTGAATAATGGAGGAGGGGATCGTCGAGGAGGGTGTTAGAGTAGGAGAGGAGGGTGTTAGAGTAATCCAGCCGAGAGGTGACAAAGGTATGGACAAGGATTTCGGCATTTTTTGGGTGAGGTATTGTCGGAGACGGGCAATGTGGTGGAAGAAAGCAGTGCTGGTCAGGGACCAGATGTGGGGAAGAAAGGATAACTGGGGATTAAATCTGATGCCTAAGTTGCGCACGGGTTTGGAGAGTTTTAAGTACAGGTTGGGTAGGTTGAGGAGGTCAGAACCATGGGACTGAAGATGTATGGCTTCCATCTTGTTGACGTTTAACTGCAGGAAATTTGCGCTCAACCAGCTCTTGATGTCCAATAGACAAGCTGACAGAACATCAGGGGACAGGGGGGCGCAGCTGGAGGTGGAAAAGTAGAGTTGAGTGTCATCCACATACATGTGGAAATTAACCCTGTGTCTTCGGATTACATCACCGAGAGGGAACATAAAAATGAGGAAGAGAAGGGGGCCAAGGGTGGATCCTTGGGGTACCCCACAGGTGACCGGGTGGAAGCGAAAAGAAGAGCCATTTGCAGAAATGTACTGCTGGCGATTTGTAAGGTAGGACTTGAACCAAGCGAGTGTGGTCCCACTGAGGTGGTTGATGGAGGACAGGCGGTGGAGGAGGATGGCGTGATCGACTGTGGCGAACATGACGGAGAGGTCCAGGAGGACGAGGAGGCAGAGGGAGCCCTGGTCACAGATAGAGAGGATATCATTTGTGACTTTCACGAGCGCTGTGTCTCTACTGTGGGCAGGGCGGAAACTGGACTGGAGGGGTTCGAGTAGGGTATGGATGGAGAGGTGTGCACAATGTTGGTTGGCAACAACGCATTCCAGAGGATTGGCAAGGAAGGGCAGGTTTGAGATAGGGTGGTAGTGGCCGAGATTGGAGGGATCAAGGGTATTTTTAAGGAGGGGGGTGATGACCTTGGTTTTGAGGGGGAGTGGGACTGATCCTGAGGAGAGAGACTGGCTAATAGTGTCTGCCATCAGTGGGCAGGAGGGAGAGCTGGGTGATTAGCAGTTGGGTGGGGAGGGGATCAAGCCAGCAGGTGGTGGGTTTCATTGTTGTGATGGTGGATGAGAGGAAGGAAGGAAAGATGGGGCAAATGAATGTAGGATGGGGGCTGCAGTAGGAGCTGAGGGTAGGATGGGTGAGGGAGACGGAATGGGGTGGTGATAGGCGACACAGGGCAAAGGGATGAAGCTGCCAGATGGATGATGTCAATTTTAGAGGTAAGGAAGTCCATGACCTCTTTGCACTTGGTGTTAGATGTGATGATTGAGGATGCTTAAGGGGACGCATGGAGGAGGTGGTGGGTGGTGGAGAATAGGATTTTGGAGTTATTATTGGCCTCCAGTATGATGTTGAGTAGTGCGCAGTTTTTGCTTGCGGCAGGCAGTGGTTTGTGTGAAGATGCTCGAGCCATAGCTGGTGGTGAACCTTGAGGCTGGTTTTCTGTCACCTGCACTCGAGCAGCCGGGTTTGGGATTTTAGGGAGTGGAGATGGCTGTTGTACCGGGGGAGCCAGTGGGTTTGGAGGTGGTCCTGAATTTCAGGGGGATGAGGGAGTTGAAGGTGGAGGAGAGGTTATCATGGAGCAACTTGATGGCTGCTTCAGGGTCGCTGCGGGTAGAAGGCTAGAGAGATAGGAAGTCTGAGGATGAGAGGGCCTTTGTGAGGGTCTTGGGGGGAAGCCTTTTCCATGGGCGGAAAAGTATGGTTGAGGTCTTGCTGGAGGAGAGAGGGATGCAAGAGGAGAAGGAGATGAGGAAGTGGTCCGAGGTGGCCTTGTCCATGATGGACAGGTCAGAAATGGCAAGGCCATGTGTGATGATGAGGTTGAGGGAGTAGCCATGGTTGTGGATCATCGAGTTGATGTGGAGTGTGAGGTTTAGGGAGGAGAGGAGGGCAGTGAATTCTGACGATGTGATGCAAGGGGAATTTAGGTGGAGATTGAAGTTGCTGATTATGAGCAGGTGTTCTGAGCAGAGGGACAGGGAGGAGAGGAAAGCAGAGATATTGGAAAGGAAGGAGCAAGGGGGTTTGGGGGGCGGTAAACCAGGAGAATTTTAAGTGAGAGAGGTGGAGGATGCGGTGCTCAAATGAAGAGAAGCAGCCAGTGGAATAAGGGAATAGACCGAGGGAGGGAAGCTTGGGAGATGAGGGCCACCCCACCGCCGTGTTAGTTTGGGGTGTGGTGGAAGGTGTAACCAGGAGTGGAGGCTTCAACTAGGGGGATGGAGTCACTGGGGGAGAGCTAGGTTTCCATAAGCCCCAGAGCATCCATGTGCTCATCCAGAATGAGATCATGGAGAGTTAGGGCTTTATTGGAGAGGGAGTGGACATTTTGTAGGGAAATCCGGATGGGTTTGCTGGTGGCAGGAGATTGAGGAGGGAGTGGTATGGAAAGGATTTGGGGTCAATGGAGAGAGATGACTGTGGAGTTGAGGAGGGCTGAGAGTTGGAGAGGGTATGGATGAGGGAGGGGGAAGGGGAGTTTGTCTTTCAGAGGCGGTTGGTGCAGAGACAGTAAGCAATGGGACAGTTGGGGTTGCTGCTCTGGGACAATCAATGCCCTGAGCTACGATGGGCCCAGCGGAGGATGCCCAGTCTGGAGCAGAGAGAGGTAATGGTGGGATCCAGGAGAGAGAGAAGGCGGGGAGGGTGGTGGGAGAAGATAGAGTGGGATTAGTGGATAGAGGGGGGTAGGAGGAGGAGAAGCATTTCCAGGGGGAGCTGTTCGGGTCGGGGCAGCAGCCGAAATGCGCAGAAACCAGGAGTGAGCGATCAGAAAGCGGGCAGCAGAGTTCTGAATGAGCTAGATTTTTTGAATAGTGGAGCTGGGGAGACCGGCGAGAGGTGCGTTTGAGTAATCCAAGCGGGAGGTGACAAACCCAGGCACGAGGGTTTCGGCTGCATTTGAGGTGAGGTAAGGTACGGTTGGAGGTGGGCGATGGTGGAGGTGGAGGAAGGCAGTCAATAGTTCAGTTGGTAATATTCTAGCCTCTGGGTAGTTAGTGGGTTAAAATCAAAGGGACCCTTTTAAATAGGGTCACTGACTTAACATTTTCC